TGTATTGTAATTTATTTGATTCTTAAGTAGAATGTTAATTATAACTAGCTGGAGTACCCATCACCTGGATGGAAGTTTTGTAAATTCATGATTAATGAAAGGTTATCTTAGGACATGAAATGTTTCTTCCCTTATATGTAATTGTAAAAAATGCAAAAATGCCCATTAAAATTGCAAAATACAAAATGCGAAACCTCAAATTTGCATATATCTTAGCATGGACCCAAGAAACCTTCTTGCCAAACTTGGTGAAGATCCATTGACAGGGAGCAAAGCAGTGGTAAAAAATGCTAAAACACCCATAAAACTGCAAAAGAAAATTTTTATGTATCTCCCCATGGACCCAATGATCCTCTATACCAAACTTGGTGAAGATCCATCCACAGAAGGTGAAGTAGTTGTAATAACTGCAAAATGCAAAACTGAATACTTGTATGTATTTCCCCATGAACCCAATGAACATCCATACCAAACTTGGTGAAGATCCATCTACAAGGAGCAAAGTAGTGGTAAAAAATGTCCATAAAAACCACAAAATGCAAGACTGAAAATTGTTATGTATCTTCCCACGGACCCATTGAACCTCCATACCAAATTTGGTGAAAATCCATCAACAGGAGTTAAGGTAGTCATAAAAAACGCCCATAAAAACTGCAAAATCCAAACTGAAAATTTCTATGCATCTCCTTATGGACCCAATGAACTGCCATACCAATTTTGGTGAAGATCCATTCACACCGTGCAAAGTAGTTACATGCACGTACAACAGACAGTACTATCATATTTATATAGATACTTTAACTTTTGATAGTAAAACAAAAATGTGGTATATGAAACAGTGATCTTGGAATAGTGTTATTAGCAAAAACATTTTGTTTCGATGAAGTTTACTCATAATAATGATTGAAAAATATGCTACACAGATTCATTGGTGAAGTGAGGGTAGGTATATTATTTATGGTACCATCTCTCTGATTATTCAGGGTACATGCTTGTTGGGTTCCAAATGTCAAACTGAGCAAGTGGCACAGTCTATGGTGTTTTATAAATTTGAGTAGGAGTGTGAAGGTCAAGATTAACAAATAATGATCAACAGAAACCTCAAAACCACTGATGTATCTCACTAGTCATGTTCTTCCAGTCAAAGGAAACTCTGCTACTGATTTTTTTTATATTTTTTACATTAACATTCCATATACTGACTTTCTTATATACTGTTCACTTCCACTGTGATCTACATATCACATCATATTGAGTAATGTCATGTATTTTTCTTTTACATCACTCAGTGTAAAGAAGTGATAACAAATTAGTTGGAAATCATTCATTTTCAGTGTAAAATATACAAGAAACCCTAGCACTTAGCAGCAGTTAATGGGATTAATTGTAATATTGAAAGTATTTGAATTTATGCTTATATTATTAGACCCTTTAACCCACAAACTCATGATTGAACAAGTTATTTGGTGAATAAATATTTAAGAAAATTGTGTTTAGAAATCTGATGGAGTTCATATGGTTCATCAGTAATTCTAGGGTTTGACCAGTTTTCTATTCACCTCTTAACCTTTTCACTTTATAGGTATTTATCTTACTATTTATTTTCTTGTGAGGCACATTATAAAAGGCTTTTATAAGTCAACATAAAAAAATATTCTCTTGTCGAAACTGACATTCTCACCTCAACAGTTTGTAAGACAAGAAAAACCCTTTTCATATATGACTGGAGAAAGAATTTTGGCATAGTGGTAGATAAGCACACAAACTGTTAAAGTGATACTAGTGTTGCTAGTCATTAAGCTATTAGAATTTCAGGAAGTATTTATAACCATATTTATTACAATTCAAAAGGAGTAATTATTTTTGTACGAATCATAAGTTAGGACACAAATTCTAATTTATTGTACAGTTTTGATCACCCTACCTAAGAAAAGGAGGGCTACTGGGATGATTCTGGAGATGGTTTATTTTGTGGGGATAAATTAAGATTCCCTTTTTTTTTAGTAAAGGAGGATATTAGGAGACTTTATTGAAGTTTTCAAGATTATCTAGATCATTAAGATAAATACCTCCTGTACTGAGAGGTTACAAGTTTAAGAATGGAAATGACAGGTTCATTTAAGACAATTTTATTTTTCTATAAGGATCATTGGTTTATGGAATGAGTTATTTTTGTAGATGTTGGCACTTTATAGAAAAGTTTAAGAATAGACTTGATGATTTCTTGAAAAAATGAAAGATGGGTTTAAGTTATATTTTTGTTGTAGTAGGTGTGTAGGAACAGCTTTGGAGGATCAAATGACCCTTGTTTTCCATATGCTATATTAAATATTAAGGGAGAATCACATGATTAAATAACACAAGTTGCAAAAATATGTGTATTGGGACTGTTTGAGATGGATATGGGAACTAAATAAAGGTATTTTGTAATAGTATAAAAGTTTTGTAAAATCACAATGATGTTTTTTAAATATATCTAAATAACTGTACAAAATTTTAAACTCCAAATCAATTTATAGATGAAAAGGAGAAATACGATCCTTCAGGATTCAGGGATGCAATTTTGCAAGGTCTTAATGAAGCTGGACATAATTTAGATGCTGTTTATAAGTTTCTGGATACAGCTGGGTATAAACTTGATTACAGGCGTTACGGAGAAGTTCTATTTGATATACTACTTGCTGGTGGTCATCTAGGTAAGAATGAAGCATTCCTTGTTTTACTTGCTTATAATTATAGTTGAGTTCACTTTGTTACAACCTTAAATCAGTCATATGTTATAAAGGAAAGTAATGTGAAAAAATCAAATATTTTGCAGCTTCCAAGTTTTTCTTAATTAGTGGGGTTATTTCACCTACTTTGTATACAGGGTCAGTTATGGAATGATGCTGAATACATGGAAGGATTTGTTATCACTAAAAGGATGGTAATGATTGTAAAAAATATTATATATTTTTAATTTATAGCATTTCAGTGGAGAACAGTAAGATAAATTTCAAGTTCATTACCAGTAAGATACTAGTAAGCCACAAAAACTGTTAAGTATTACTCTCTTTATCTTGGTTGATACAAATGTTAAACAATCACTATTTTCATAAATCTGCAGCAACAACATTTATTGTTTATAAGTGTCATTGATGTTTCTATATAATAGTAAAGAAGAAATATCTTTGTTTCTAATAAAACAGTTTAAAATATAAATGAAGCACAGTTTTTTTGATAAATACATTAATTTTTTAAGTATTTTAAGCAAAAATCATCAGGTACATAATGGTTATTAATGATTGAAGCATTGTGTATAAATGTATTTTCATGCACTCAAGAAGTATTACTTTTACAATACTTGCATATTTAACCAAGCACGAGGACCAGCAAAGATAGTGTATTAATAGTGTGGTTTAAAATATGTCCAAGGGGGAAGTCCTTTTGTGCTGCAGTATAATGTTTTGTGATTACTGGGATTTGTTCATTTTGAACACATTTAACTATTATTTTTAAACTGTTCATCCATTGACCCTATTGAATGGATTTTTCTGTGGTCATTAAAGGGAACTTCATGTCTACTATATAATAAATACAATAAAATGGGAACTCAGAAATTGTTTTATTGTTAATTATTTGTAGATATTGTCATATAAGATAATTATTCTGTGTGCTGTGAAATTTTGCTTCCAATATGTATGTGTCTAACCATTTTACTTTGCTATTTAATCTCACTTTTCACAGCTACAGAAGATGTATTCTTATTCTTTATTTTTAGAATTGTTGTATCAAAGGACAGTAATACTGAATACAAAGAAATGTTTGTACAAGCATGAATTTTTAAGTTTTCATAATTGTGCTGTGTAAACTTAAAAATGTAGTGTTTTTTTCTTTGCTAGCATATCTTTCACTTGATTTGTATGTTTTGCAATCTTCGTTCTTTTCTGTTTTGGAAGGGAACCCTATCATGGTTGGCTCTTTAAGTTAGAATTGTTTAAAAGTTGCTTGAGTAATTATACCATTTATTAGTTAATAATAAAAATGAATTCTTTATAATGTTTGTACGAAGCATGAAGTATTGTCAAAATTATGAAATTTAAACAAAGCGAAAAATCAGAAAAATAAAGAAATTGAAACAATATTCACAGTTGGTTAAAGTTTGTTAGCCAAATAACAAACTAGATGTACCTAAATTAAAAGTCATGGGACTGAAGAACTAATGTATTCCTATTGCTTTGTTTTCTTGCCATTGTTCTTTATTATTGTACTCAGAGATCATTGATTGAAACAAAGGTAACTGTTTTTTCTGGTGATTTTATTTGCTAAGCCTCCTCCTACTGCCTTCTTGTACTCATTATCAACTCTGAAGCACTAGTAATAGTAAATGTAAATACAAAGCCCCCCAGTCTGTACTTCAATTCATTACATTTTACCAAGTTATACTAGTTTTAGAATTCCACTCCTTGTCAGTAACTTTACAAAATTTATTTTAGTGCAAGGAGACACACAGAAATTTCTTCTTCAAAGTGCTATAAAGAATTTTTTATCTTTCACAAAATACAGCTAATTGTTTTTTGTTTTGTTTGCAAAAGTTAAAAACAATTTACTTTTGACAGTTGATATGAAGGAGTTTGGAGTTTATCATGGAGGAACAGGAACTGTTCAATACGTTCTTAGATGAGCCTGTTCCTGCTTGCTTCAGTGATGTCTCTCCCTCAACTAAAGAGATGCTTACTTGATATTGAGTTTAGTGGTGAGCTCAGGAATTTATGAGCAAGTTTCATCATGGATGGAAGGACATTGTTCTTGGCATTTCATCATGTTCTTTATTTTTGCAAGACTGAGATAGGTACCAATCTGCTGAATTCTGAAAAAGAAGGGCAGTAAATGTTGAATCTCGTGGTCTTTTTTCTTCATAAGAATAGTGAAACATAGCAAGCTGTCCTTTGTTATAGTTTGAGGAATTTCTTCATTAGATACTGGCTTGCAGTTCAGCCCATTTTGCTTTCTTCAGCATGAAAACTTTTCTGTGAGGTGCCGATCTTTTCAGTCATCACTTTTCTAGACCTGTATTTGTTATTCAAAAGCTGAAAGGAGAATTTCTAGATTAATTGTTCATTCAGTCTGTCATTCACTCCTTAAGCTGTAGTTAGTTCTTGGTTATCAGTATCGGCCACTGTTTTTTTTTTTTTTTCAATTGTATTTGTTGGCCAAAGAGTGAAATTGGTACATCCTTGATATGTAGGGCATTGGTCTTTTTAAATCACACAGCTTGTCTGAATAATCCAGAATAATAAATTAGTAGCATCAATGCTACATTTTCTTCAAATTCTATATAATACAAGTTCACTGTGGCAAGTAACTACTTGTAATGTAGGTTTGACTGATCAGTGCATTTAGCTGTTAGCTCTGTTTATCCAAGTTCTCTTTGGTAGCATGTGAAGCCAATTCACATGGCTATGTTAAACAGAAAGCCATGAAAATGTAAAATAAGTACTGGAGAGATTTTGCAAGATAAATTATTTTGCTACAGTTTTTTTTATGTTTCTAATAAATGTCCATCACAACAACCTAGCAACGACAATTTGACTATAATGCATCACTGATTTTAAACAAGTTTAAGCTCTAGAAGTTAAGGAAAGTAATAATATATATTTTTTTTATTTGTTTATAAATTATGATTTTAATTTTTTTCACAACTACAAAATGCTCAAACCCAGTAGCTTCTGGTCCCTAGATTCCAAGTTGTTTGGGGCTTTGTTAAGCACTGTAGAAACCTATATATATCACTCTAACTTAATAGTCCTTTTATTTTATTAACTCTTTTCATATAATTATAAAATTCTACTCTTATTTAGAGTAAATAACAAAAATGCATACATCAGGCAAGTATTTGTTCTGTTAGTGTGCATATACCTAGTTTAAAACCTGAATTACAGTATAAGACAATTTGAAGGAAGATAAATGAACCTTAGAAAAGGTGATAATAAATTCTGGTAGCCAATCTTTGTTAGTAAAATGGTATGCTCAAATTTCTAGGGAGGAATTTTTGATACTAATGTTATCTTATTTAACCAAAGTGATAAAGAAATTAATTAAAAGTTGTATGTATAAGAAATCTCTTAACTTTGGTTGTAGCTCCAGGTGGTACTATTGTTACTGACGTTGATTCAAGTAAGCCCCTGCGGACAGATGTTTGTGTATTTTCTGCAGGGAATGACCTTGACTCAGTAAAAGGTTATGCTCAGGTAATTTTTTTTATTACTCTATTTATATCCAGAACCTTTGACCATATCTATACAATATTGGAAATAAGTATGGAAACAGAGAATAAAATGGGTATAGATATTATGAAATTGCTCCCTTTCTTTTCTATGAAAATTAACTACATCTGAGAACAGTCATATATTGATAGTTTATACTGTGTTTGTTTCATCTATCCAGTCAGAAAGTGCCTATAAAAGATTGGGTAGGCATACTGGACTCAGTAGTAGCATGATGAATGCACTCATGGCTCCCTGGACAGAAATGGTACACAACAGATGTGTAGAAATCAAAATTTTGGCTGGTGTATGCAAGTCATATAACTGATTGAGACAAAATTTCATGTCTGAATAACAAGAATGAAGTCTTATAGTTTCTTAGTTTTCCAAGAAAGTGGGTTTTTAGTTAAAATCCAGCCAAAGTTAGTCTTTCTTTGACACATTTTTTAGAATGTGTATTAAAATATAGTGTGTGAATTCTGCTTCTGACACGATTACCTGAATCTGGACAGATTTTTAAACTGTTCTTGACACAGGTTTCAAAATAAGAGTTAAGCTTTGAGTTGGTTTTTGATACATTTTTTCAGACTGAAAGGACTTTTGGAGTTTTCTTCTGACACATCTTTCAGAGTGTAGGTAGAGCCTGCTTTTGATAAATTTTTCAGAATTTGGATAGGCTGAAGACTGACTGACATATTTTCAGTATTTGAACAGACATTAGTCTGCTTTTACACATCTTTCAGAATCTGGATAGGTTGAAGTTTGCGTTTGATGCGCTTCTCTGAATAAAAACAGACCAGAAACTGCTTGTAGAATCTACTTTTGACACATTCCTGTTTCTAAACTTTATCTTCACAAATACAGTGTAGAATGTTATAACATTTGGTATGGTTATATTTATGAACTGTAGCTAAGAAATCAATGAATTAAAGGTGTGTTCTTAAATATTTGTACTGTTTTTGGACTTTGTCATGGAAAAATATTCAACCTTAATTTAAATCATTTAAAGTTTTATAGTTTCCTTAAACTGATATAAAGATATGTTTAAAAATAGGATACTTCAATACATTACTTTGTTTACAGTACACAGTTAGGAGCTAAACGTCTTCATTGGATTATTTTTTTATAGCATTGTAATTGTGCCATTAGAGTTATGCATTATCTGTAATAAAGTTTTTGGTAACATTTATCAGAAAACATTGAATAGTATATCATTTTCTTAAAATAACTGGTGAGCAGAGCACAGCTAGCCCATCGTGTAGCTTTGTCCTTAATGGCAAATAAACAAATCTTAAAATCCATTAGTATTGTTACCTGTGTATTATTTTCCCTAGTTCTTTTTTTCCATGAAAGTCTTTTTTTTTTAAATGATTGGGAATTTATGTATAAAATTGAAGTCATATTATGTTTTGGAAGTGTAATTTTAATCCTCTCAGCTCATATAAAATTTTTTTGGTAACTTTTATATCAAAAATAGTTTTTTCTTGTCTCTTATGACTTTTAGCTTATTACAAAATTGATTCGACGGTACAAGTATCTGGAGAAGACACTAGAGGATGAATTCAAAAAGGTAAACCTTGAAACAGTTTTGTGTCAAAATAAAGTGTATTTATTCAAGGCTTTATTTGTATTTAGTAATAGTATTTCTGACCAATGTTTTCTTTGTAGTGATTTTTTACATGCCTATTTTGCTTTATATTCTAGAGAAATATAAGACTATGAGAAAAATATATGGAAGTATTCCAAGTTTTAAATGGACACCAATGTATATTCTTAATTTTTAAACAAACAACATTGCTGTTGTTTATATTTTACTTCACTCACTTTCAGTTGGAGATCTGTGTGGTTATATAAAGTTGTTTATATGCTTGCTTTGAAGCAGCTTACCCTAAGTTATTGGGAGTGATAGGTTTATGTTTTTTCTTTGTTGTAATTTTCATAAAAGATAGACAAAGAAGATGTACTAATTCCTTAAGATACCTCAGTTCTGCAGTTATTATTTGACCTTTATGTGCAATAGCCAGGTGGTTAGGGAACTCGACTCGCAATATGCGGGTCGCGGGTTCGAATCCCTGTCCCACCAAACATGCTCGCCCTTTCAGCCGTGGGGGCATTATAATGTGATGGTCAATCCCACTATTTGTTGGTAAAAGAGTAGCCCCAGAGTTGGTGGTGGGTGGTGATGACTAGCTGCCTTCCCTTTAGTCTTATGCTGCTAAATTAGGGATGGCTAGCACAGATAGCCCTTGTGTAGCTTTACATGAAATTCAAAAAACAAACAAACTTTATGTGCATAAATTGTATGAACTAATGAAATTTGATACAAGATATATTTTTTTTCAAGCTAAGAATTTGTTTTGAGATGACTTCAACAGTTGGCAGAAGGTATTAATTGGATATTTTTACCAGAATATGATGAGGCTTGATTGTGTTTTACATATGCTATCATGAATTTTTAAATTATATATGGATATATAAAACAATTATAGGTTAAAAATTATATTGAGAAATGTTTACGCATTATAAAGTTGTATATGTGATGAAGAATGTTGTGTACTGTGTGACAGAGTATGGAACTGTGTTTCAGGTGCTTGTCTTCCTAAAGGCATTTTCTCCCAGTGAGAGGACCAAACTTGCCAATGTTACCTCTATTTTGGTTGGGAATGGCCTAATCCCTAGTCTGGTATTGACTAGTTGTCTACAAGATCACCTGGTCAAAGAAGGTAAATTTACACTTACAATTATAACATATTTTTGTATTGAGTTAGAGTCCAAGTTGACATATTAATGAAACCATCAACTATTAGTTCTGTGGTGTATGAATTTTCTTTTAAATCAATTTGTAGATTTTTTTAATGAAAACAAAATTATATTAATGCAATATTTTGTTTTAAACTGCAGGTATTGCTCTTGAGTTTTTGCTGAATTTTTTTAAGACCTGGCTAGCAGAGAAGGATGCTCCTACTCTCTGGACAGCTTTACGTAAAGCTCCTTTGGAGTCCAGACTTATGGTAATTTTGTTAATACTTTTATCAAAAACTTTATTTTTTTGCAATTTTGCTATTTGAAGTATTTTAAATGGCACATATTGACAATATAATTTGAAATGGATGGCAGAAATGGATTTAGAACATTCAGAATTATTCAGCATGCAAATAAGAATTTTTAACCAGTTCCTTTTTAAAATGTCTTAAATAATTATATTTGTTTAAAACATTTGGAATTTAATTAGATAAGCAAATCTTAGATAAGTACTAAAAAATATCTATATTTTTGTTGATTTGCAACACAGGTAACTACTACAGAGAAATACTTTGCTCAAGCATACAATTGAACTTTTTTATAAGACCTCTTCAAATTTGACCGAATGTATTTTTGAATTGTGAAGAACATAATTTGTAAAACAGAATTAAACTTTTCATATTTCATCATTATTTAACAACATTATATTAAACAATACCTGCAAATAAACTTGTATAACTTCACATATATTTCATTTGAGGAACTGACAGATTAATAACCCTATCATGATGACCTATTTACATAATAAGTAGGTGATGTAGCTCTTGTGAAATGTCTTTCCAAAAACCAAACTGGTGGATGTAATTGTTTGAAATTTGACATGAGCTTTTCTAAAGGTATTTAGTTTCAGAAAAATAAAATATTTAATTTTTATTTTTTCTACTATTTTTAATAAATATTAGTTATTTCATGTAGTTATTTGCACTCAGACTCTGAATAGTTCACCTGCAAGGTGATTTTTATATGAAGTATAAAATACAATTTTCTATCTAACAGTTTTTACTTTTCATTTGCATAGTCTCTAGAACCTCATAAATGATTATCAAAAGTTTTTTAAGGTAAACATTTATATTTTAATTTCCATTTTCTCTACCATATCACTAACTTTAGATATTATCATCAACATACATTGCAATGCAATGTTTATAATTAAGAAATTGAAATATGTAAATACTTTTTAACTCTTTGTTGAATAATCTTAAAATATCTTTATTTGGTCATATATATAGTTTTTATTTTTTCACCTATAGTTTATTTTTAATGTTTTATTTTCTTTATCTTGTATGACAAAACATCATCTGCTTCTGCACTTATATCTTTTCTAAGCCTTCCCCAACGAGAGGACAACATGTAAACATAACAAAAATCATTAAATCTTTCAAATATGAATTTTAAAACACAAATAGTACATAATTAACTAAAATATGCAAGTAACACCTAAATACAATTTAACTATCTCTCTAACTATAGCATATTTAGGTAAGAAACCACCATAAGTGCTATAGTCGATCAAGCAGGTAACAATACTACAGGAAACTACATATACCCCCATGATGACAACTGCATGCCAATTTCAAATTATCCATTATTTGGTTATAGTGTAAACTGAGGTCTTTCTAATGACCATATACACTTGTGTCTACTAACTTCATGTATAGTGTAAAGCTCACAGCAAAATATACAAGGTGGGTGTGGTACCTGTCAAGGGTTGCCAAAATTTATTACTTTTTTTAGTGCATGCAGCTGAAAGACTTTGTATCTTACATGTCAATAGTTCATAGACGTACATTACTCTCTAGACGCTTATATACAGGACTAAGCATTTGTATTTCAATATAACCCCTGCGATAGTTGAGAGTTTTCATAGTGTGTGTGTGGATTACATGACAATACAACTGCAATTAAAGTATTTTTAAATGTTTCTTTTAAAACAAAGGAATGGAAGCATAGATAACATAAAAATTCAATTTGTAAGTTACATTATAATATTAATTTCATTGACATACATGGATAGTCAAGTAGTTTTGATTAAATTTTGAATGTAACTCAGTAACATGAATAGAAATGAATCTAAAAATGGTGTTATGATAGGGATAAGAAAAAAGGAGTAAAAATAAAATTATAGCACACGAATGCTTAACCC